ACTGTTCAATTTCTTCTCGTAAATCAAAGAAACGCCTCAGCACAGCACCTCGGCTTAACCATCTTACCTCAGTGTGGTATGGCAGGCCATAGATGTGGTCTTTCTCTCTGAGAAGGCTGTCAAACTGACGGTGATTCAGGCTTCTGGATCGGATGAAATTAACAGTTTGGATGACCACCTTCATGACGTTATCCATCTTTAATGACTTGCAACACAAAGCCTCCTGGTGCAAAATACAGTGAAAAGTCAAAAAATCACGTCCTCCATTTGCAGATTGCACTTTCTCTCTGAACTTTGTCACAACACCTGCTTTTTCCCAATCATTGAGGGCGCACCATCTGTAGCCAGGCTGACAGCGCGGGACCAGTCCACTCCGACCCTGTCCAGCGCGCCGACGAGTGCGGTAAAAATATCAGCTGCTGTCGTTGTATCTGTCATCGGCACCAACTCCACGAACTCCTCGGTGACGGTCAATGTGTCATCAACTCCGCGGATGAAAAAATGGCCAGTTGTGCAACATCTGTAATGTCCGTGCTTTCATCAATTGCAACCGAAAACGCAATAAATGACTTTACTTTTTTGCTTCAACTGGCTGTCCAAATCCACTGAAAGATCGGAAATCCTGTCTGCAACTGTGTTTCTTGTCAGGCTGATATTTTCAAAAGCCTGCCGCTTTTCAGGGCACACAATCTCCTCTGCCTTCATCATGCATGTTTCTACAAATTCACCCTCACTAAATGGTTTTGAAGCCACTGCGATTTCATTAGCAATGAGGTAGCTAGCTTTCACTGCAGCGTCACTGATGTCTCGGCTGTGAGTAAACACAGACTGCTGTTTCTTCAGACCCGCCAACAGTTCATTCACCTTCTCTCATCTCCGCTGTCCTTGAAAGTTGTCATATTTGTCTGCATGAAGACTCACATAGTGGCGACGAAGGTTATATTCTTTCAGCACTGCAACATGCTCTGAACACACCAAACATACAGCTTTCCCATTCAATTCCGTGATTAAATAGGATGACCATTTTTCTTGGAACACTCTGCACTCTGCGTCCACTTTTCTCTTTTTTGACAGAGACATATTGGGGCAATGAGGGTGCCAAAGCACATAATGTTAAAAGTAGAAGCCGTAATAAATATCGCGGGCAAAACAAAGTAGCTCATTGGCTGCACGTGCTTGACCTACTTGCTCTGCCCCGGTATAAACAGTTTGCTTGCTTAACACAATTGCTATTGCGCCATCCAGTGGACGCAATTGGAACAGCAGTTTATTTTATAGAAAAATTGCAGCGCATTTTTATACTTTACAATTATTATTATTATTTTTTATTTTTTTATCATCTCGCGGGCCGGATTAAACCCGTTTGCGGGCCTGATCCGGCCCGCGGGCCGTACATTTGACACCCCTGATCTAGATCATCTATGAGGCTGTGGAGGGATTCAAGTTGTGGATTTAAAAGAAAACATGAATCATCAGCGTACAATGACACTTTTGTTTTTAAGCCCTGAATTTCTAATCCTTTTATATTATTGTTGGATCTGATTTTAATAGCTAACATCTCGATGGCCATAATAAATAGATAAGCCGATAGTGGTAGAATTAGAAGAATCTTGCTTGTAAGCAGGAATCAGGAGGATAGAATTATGGTCATATTTGCCAAATGGAGGGCGAGGGAGAGCTTTGTACGCGTCTCTATGTGTGGAGTAAAGGTGGTCTAGAGTTTTATTTCATCTGGTTTCACATATGACATGCTGGTAGAAATGAGGTAAAGCGGATTTGTTTGCCTGCATTAAAATCCCCGGCCACTAGGAGCGCCGTTTCTGGATGAGCGTTTTCTTGTTTGCTTAAGGCCTTATACAGCTCGTTGAGTGCAGTCTTAGTGCCAGCGTCAGTTTGTGGTGGTAAATAGACGGGTACGAAAAATATAGATGAAAACTCTCTTGGTAGATAGTGTGCTCTACAGCTTATCATGAGGTATTCTACCTCAGGCGAGGAATACCTCGAGACTACCTTAATATTAGACATCGCGCACAAGCTGTTATTGCTGTTATACAGGATGGGATCACAACACCTCTAAATGTCCCGAGAACGTGGACATATGCCTTCTTCTGCAATCACCCATAAAATGAAAAATTATTGCCCAGCACTGGGCGTGAACTCGTAATGCTCAGTGTTGAGTCAGAGCGAACTGCTTAGACCTCTGCCCTTCGGCAGTTCATAATGCTGTAATAAGCCACGAGAATTCGGAGAATACTGATGAGACCTGATGGTAATAGCGTGTCATTTTAAATTAATTAAATCCCAAAACCATAGCCCTAACCTTAAGCACTTGGAATTAATGGCTAAACTGTTCAACTTTGAGTTGTTTCTGTTTCAACCCTGTAACCATGGAGAAATAACCCTGTAACCCTAGAGAATTAACCCTGTAACCCTGGAGAATTAACCCTGTAACCCTGGAGAATTAACCCAGTAACCACATGGAATTAATGCGTCAGAAATTGACATTACTCCATAATACGTCGAATTTCGAAGGGAAAGTGTGATCTTAAAGGCAGCCTAAATCCACTTCTACGTGTAAGTCAGAGAATCTGACTGTTTAAGATATTTTTAATAGTTGATGAATGGTGGAAACTGTATTTAAACTGTCTTGATTAGGACTGCAAAAAGTGTACATTTTGCCTGAGTATGAAACAGAATATAAGGACAGACTCTTCTTGTAAATGTAAACCATCCACTCATCTGCTGAATCATCCTTGATTAAACATTGTGGTTTAGTTAAAAAATGTATTTAGCTCGTTTAAAGATGCTTCTGAGACTCAACACGTTCTTTCTTGGAACTCCTCAAGCAGAGATCCACCAGCATCAACACCATCACTGATTTTGGTGCGATCCTGAGGACCATTTGAGACTTTGGATTATCCTGCCTTTCCACCTGGCCAGTTAAGACCTCATAACCTGGTAATGTCCACCTGACTACAGCTTTATTACCTACTGTAAAAAGTATGGCAGAGGATAAAGTTGGATATTGAAGACATTGTTCATTGGTCAACCGTGCCCGTAATTGATTTAGGCTTGCCCAAAATTGTTTATTTGGGGTATCAGGTTGATTGTGGAGGTCTGCACACATTGCGAAATGTATAGTAATTTAGACAAAAAATGTATTGAGATACCGATCTGTCATTAACCTCTACTGGATCGGATCGGATCCCCTGTACCGGGATGGTTGCTGCTCAATATGCGATATGTGACTAGAATGTTGTAAACAACGGCAACCTTCCGAGATATAGACATGTCTTATATGGGCAGAAAGCTTAAATTATTGTTCATCTAACTGCACTGTCCAATTTACAGTAGCTATTACAGCAACAAAAAAAATACCATGCTATTGTTTGATGACAGTGCACAACAACAAAACACTTTTGTCACGGCAACTGGTTTGATACAGTCACCTCTGAAGGTAAATTATGTACTTACATTCAGTAATCTTGCTCTGATTTGTCATCCTGAGGGTCCCAGAGATAAAAAATGTAGCATAGTTCTGTTTGATAAAATCCATTTTTATATTCAAATGTAGGAACTGGGTTCTACAGTTTGACCCCCTGCTGTCTCCGACCTTTCGACCTTTCGGTTACTGGGCCAATGCTCTTAACCGCTAGGCTACCTGCCGCCATGTTGTTATTATAAATGGAAGTCCACCAGTTTCACAAGTAGTCCTTGCAGTTCCACAACAATAATAATTTTTTTCTGAGCGAGCATAACCCAAAGGGCAGTCCTGCATCAAGTTATTTAAATGGTCTTACCTCTACAGCTACAGTTCTGGGAAGTCACCTGACCTTCCAAGTGTTACATAGTCTTTGAAAGGTTTCATTATGCAACATTCATTCTACAAGAGATAAGGAACGTTTATGATATCTATGTAATGAATAATCAGTCATTCGTTGACTGGTAAAAACAATGGATTAACTCTTAATTCATGTCTAAAATCAGATACTATGATGTAAGTCTGAAGGACGTTTATTTATATAATGTTGAACTGCTTGCATGATTTCGGAGCTCCTAAGCAAGTTCATTAGTGAAACTAAAATCATGTCTGGCACGAACTTGATGGCAAAACATTCAAATTAGGGGTTTGTTGAAAACTAGCCGGCTGGCTAAAACTGGCACTTTTACAGCAATGTTGATTAATGTGCACTTGTCCCTGTAAAACTACATGTAATAAAAGGAAATATGTATAATTAGGGATTAGGGAACTGAGCGTGCAGAATGTTCGTTTCAAAAGTCACGTTTCCATTAATGCTGAATCATGACTGTTGAAAGACTGTGGGACAATAGAGTTAAACATTAATTTATCTTGTTCAAAGGTGCTTCTTTCTGGGGCTCCTCAAGCAGCATTAACATGTCTGATTTTGGCGAGATCCTGAGGACCATTGGAGACTTTGGATCATTCCAGAAGTTTATAGTTTTGGGAATATGCTTCCCGAATCTTATCCTGCCTTTCCACCTGGCCAGTTTGATTTTCATCCAGTCAGACCCTGAGCGTCATTGTAACACTGACTGGATCCTTAGAGCTGGTTCTAATCTGAGCAGTGAGGCTGCTGAAGGGAGAACGGATCATTATAATGTCCGGAACGGCGCAAATGGAATGGCATCAAACACCTGGAAACCATGGAAACCATGTGTTTGATGCATCTGATACCATTCCACTAATTCCGCTCCAGCCATTACCACGAGCCCGTTCTCCCCAATTAAGGTGCTGTCAACCTCCTGTGGTTCAATTGTATAATGTTGATCTGCTTGCATCATTTTGGAACACCTAAGCGATATTATAATGCAACTAAAATATTTTTTGGGGACTTTGTTCAGAGTGTAGATGGGCAAAATATTCAGATTGGGGGTTTGGTAAATTGTATAACTAGGGAACTGACGGTGCAGATACATTACTTCTTACAGTTCTTCTTAAAAAGTCATGTTTCCACACATGCTGAATCATGCTTGCTGAAATACTGTGGGACAGTAGAGTTAAACATTAATTTATCTTGCATAAACGATTCTCTGTGATAAAAACCTTCTGTCTGGAGCTCCTCAAACAGAGAATCGCTTGATTCTTGAACATGGCTGATTTTGGTGAGATCCTGAGGACCGTTGGAGACTTTGGATTATTCCAGAAGCTTATACTATTTGGACTATGCTTCCCGAATCTTATCCTGCCTTTCCACCTGGCCAGTTTGATTTTCATCCAGTCAGACCCTGAGTGCCACTGTAACACTGACTGGATCCTTAGAGCTGGTTCTAATCTGAGCAGGGAGGAACAGCTGAATCTGACCGTGCCCCGGGAGGAGGATGGAGCCTTCAGTAGGTGTCTGATGTTTACCCCTGTGGACTGGGACATTGACACCATCAGGGAGCATGGACTCAATCAGACCACTGAGTGCCAGAATGGATGGGTGTACAACAAGATAATGTACGAGGCCACCATAGTCACTGATGTAAGTAGGACAGGATGAGTGCAGGGGATGAACTATTGTTTTTACTAACCATAAGACTGTATTTTGTCATGTCATTAATGAGCTTATATGTTATCAGATTTTATTTTGTTGCAGTTTGATCTTGTCTGTGGCAAAGCTAACGTTGTCGGACTTGCACAAACTGTGTTCATGGCTGGCATTCTTCTTGGTTCACTCTTGTTCGGACCTTTTGCTGAATCGTAAGCACACTTGAAGTTGTGAATAACATGTCCTATACTTCTTGGTTTCTTTCTTTCTCTTTTGTAAAAACACCACCAAACATAAACAAGTAAACCAAGAGGAACATTCATCAAACCTTCAAAAGGAGGTTTAAAACTGTTTTAACCAACATGGTTTTCTGCACTTTTTTTCTCTTCTAGATTTGGTCGCCAACGAGCAACTCAGATACCCATGGTTATTATGCTAATCTTTACTGTAACAACAGGCCTGTCTCCAAACTTTTATTTGTATCTGGCATCCCAGTTTTTAGTAGGGATCGCATATGGTGGATTTCGAATCAACGGCATTGTATTAGGTAAAGTGATGTCCATTTCAAATAGACTATGCTCTGTAATAAAAAAACATGAGATAACAGAACTCAGTCAATGATTTGTCAGGCAGCTGGTCAAAATAACAAGTTGTATAACATTATAAAATGTTCCTTTCTACAGCAACTGAATGGGTCGGAGTGACAAGACGTTCTTATGCGTCTTGTTTGAGTCAGACGTTCGGTGGAGTTGGCCAGTGCATCCTTGCTGGCATGATCTTCTTCATCAGAGACTGGAGACTTGCGCAGTTTGTCATGGCTGCACCAATAGCAGTGGTCGCCGTATATATATGGTGTGTACACGTGTCGTCTTTCACCAATATTAAAACGGATCGTTTTAATCCAGAGAGGCATTACACATCCCAAACAGAAGTTATTCAAACTGATAAAGACCTCAGGGACATTACAAAGCCAAACGGAGCATTACAGCACCCAAGCTGAATATTAATATTAGCAATATTAATTATAATTTGTAAAATCTGCTTGTTATGTATTTCCAGGTTTATTCCTGAATCAGCCAGATGGTTATTGGATCAGGGGAAATCAGAGGAAGCTAAGAAGTTGATACTCAGGGTAGCAGCCATCAACAAACGCACAGTTCCAGATATTATTCTAGAGAAGGTAAAGTGCATGAATTAGGAATTAGAATACTAGAATGGAAATGAAACTTTTTATGATCAGGGAGGGAGTTGGTCAACCATGGTTTGCCAGTGCTGTGATAAGATATTGTAAAAATAATGAATTTGAAGAATTTATCTGCACTGTATGTTTGTTAGCTAGCTAGCTAGTCAGCCAGTTTGTTGACAAGTTGTAAATGCAACAAGTACTGATATTGTATCACTCACAACTTTCCAAGAAAACAAACATTTAGACATTTATGCTCTGTTTATATATATCCTAGAGGCTATTTATACAGAAAATTGGCATAAAACCTGTATCAACTGCATTTATACTTCTATGACAAAATTGTAGGTTGACAATAATTAGATTACACAATTTCTGATATTCTTATTTGGCAGTTTTCGCTGCATAACATGTAGAAGTTGTCCCTTTTCAGGTATAGAAGAAGTGACTGCTAAATGCTAACCCTCGTTCGCATAAGCTGGGTAGCATAGCTAACATACAGAAATCTGGTGGTGGCAGTCAAAGTCGTTTTTTTAACTGTAATGCAGTTGATTGGTAATGATGACATGAACATGTGTTGGGGTTGACATCCATACAAGCATTTACTCAGATTTATATCTCAATATAGTGTGAAATGTACATATAAACAAAAGCTTAAATGTAGGCCCATTTTGCTGGTGGGCAATGAGGCGAATCGGGATCTTTCCCTCACGGCCCTTTCCCTCGTGCGTTTCCATGGCAATTGCATTGTATTGCTCGAGTTCGATTGACCTTTCAGGCACTGATTATGGTAAACGTACATCTACCCCAAAGAGCAATATCTAACACAAAGGTCACCTCTATTCCAGATAGCTGAGGAGAAAGTTGTTCAGAAGGGAGGCGTACTCATTCTCATCAGATCTCCTGTACTTAGGAAATACTTCTTAACTATTACTCTTGGATGGTACGTTCTTTAATACCTTAATATCTCAAATTGTCCAACCTTTAGCCAATATTAAATCTCATCATGACAAACAAATGTGATGTCTGTTTTTGTGTCTCTCTCTCTCTCTGAAATCACAGGTTCTCGTTAAACCTCTCCTACTACTGTTTGTCCTTCAACGTCGGGAACTTTGGCTTGGACATCTTCTTGACACAGCTCATGTTCGGACTCACAGAGATACCAGGTCATATACTCTGCATCTTTATACTGGAATATTTGGGGAGGAAGATATCCTTAATGTCCACCCTTCTGACTGGTGGATTCACCTGCTTCCTAATCCTGGCTGTTCCACAAGGTAAAGTTCCAACTGGAATACATTTGACATTTTAGACATTTAGTAGATGCTCTTATCCAGAGCAACTATCAATTAGTGCATTCATCTTAAGATAGCTAGTTGAGACATCGACACATCACAATCGTATCAAGTACATTTTCCCTCAACAAAGTATTTATCAGAAAAGTCAGTGCTAGTGGGAAAATATCAGTGTTTTTTTGTTTGTATTTTTTTGCGGGGGAGGCGCCGTGAGAGTTATTTAAGGTACTCTTCAAGGAGGTAGGGTTTCAGACGTTTTCGAAAGATGGGCAGAGACTCTGCTGTCCTGACTTCAGTGTGAAGCTTGTTCCACCATTGGGGTGCCGGGACAGGGAAGAGATTTGACTGGGCTGAGCGGTAGCTGCAGGGGTGGGAGGGCCAAAAGACCAGAGGTGGCGGAACAGAGTGCTCGGGTTTGGATGTAGGGTTTGAGCATATCCTGAAGGTAAGGAGGTGCAGTTCCTCTTGCCACTCCGTAGGCAAGTACCAGGGTCTTGAAAATGATGCGAGCTTCGTCTGGAAGCCAGTGGAGTGTGCGGAGGAGCGGGGTGACATGGCAGAACTTAGGAAGGTTGAACACCAGGCGGGCTGCGGCATTCTGGATAAGATGCAGGGGTTTTATGGCACAAGCAGGGAGCCCAGCCAACAGAGAGTTGCAGTAGTGTAGACGGGAGATGACACGTGCCTGGATTAGGACCTGCACCGCTTCCTGTGTGAGGAAGGGTCGTACTCCACGGATGTTGTAGAGCATGAACATGCAGGAGCGGGTCACTGCTTTGTTGTTTGCAGAGGATGACGGGGTGTCTGGGAGGGGGACACCGTGGAGTTGTCAACCATGTGAGGAGATGACAGAGAAGAGTGTACAAAACATTAGGAACAGCTTCCTAATATTGAGTTGCACCCGCTTTTGCCCTCAGAACAGCCTCAATTTGTCAGGACAAGACTCTACCAGGTGTCGAAAGCGTTCCATGAGTGTGCTGGCCCATGTTGACTTCAATGCTTCCCACAGTTGTGTCAAGTTTGCTGGATGTCCTTTGGGTGGTGGACCTTTCTTGATACAAACGGGAAACTGTTTAGCGTGAAAAACCCAACAGCGTTGCAGTTCTTGACACACTCAAACCGGTGCGCCTGGCACCTTCTACCATACCCCGTTCAAATGCACTTCAATCTTTTGTCTTGCCCATTCACCCTCTGAATGGCACACATACACAATCCATGTCTCAATTGTCACAATACTTAAAAATCCTTCTTTAACTTGTCTCCTCCCCTTCATCTACACGGATTGAAGTGGATTTAACAGGTGACCTCAATAAGGTATCATAGCTTTCACCTGGATTCACCTGTTCAATCTATGTCATGGAAAGAGCAGGTGTTCCTAATGTTTTGTAAACTCAGTGTACATACACAGTGCATTCGGAAAGTATTCAGACCCCTTGACTTTTTCCAAAAACATTTACGTTACAACCTTATTCTAAAATGGATTAAATTGTTTTTTTCCCCCCTCATCAATCTACACACAATACCCCATAATGACAAAGCAAAAACTGGTTTTTAGACATTTCTGCAAATGTATTAAATATAAAAACTGAAATATTAAATTTACATAAGTATTCAGACCCTTTACTTAATTCTTTGTTGAAGCGCCTTTCGCAGTTATTACAGCCTCGAGTTTTCTTGGATATGACACTACAAGCTTGGCACACCTGTATTTGGGGAGTTTCTTCCATTCTTCTCTGCAGATCCTCTGAAGCTCTGTCAGGTTGGATGGGGAGCGTTGCTACACAGTTATTTTCAGGTCTCTCCAGAGATGTTCGATCGGGTTCAAATCCGGGCTCTGCATGGGCCACTCAAGGACATTCAGAGACTTGTCCCGAAGCCACTCCTGCGTTGTCTTGGCTGTGTGCTTAGGGTTGTTGTCCTGGTGGATGGTCAACCTTCGCCCCAGTCTGAGGTTCTGACCGCTCTGGAGCAGGTTTTCATCAAGGATCTCTCTGTACTTTTCTCTGTTCATCTTTCCCTCGATCATGACTAGTCTCCCAGTCCCTGCCGCTGAAAAACATCCCCACAGTATGATCCTGCCTCCACCATGCTTCACCGTAGGGATGGTGCCAGGTTTCCTCCAGACGTGAAACTTGCAATTCAGACCACAGCGTTCAATATTGGTTTCATCAGACCAGAGAATCTTGTTTCTCATGGTGTGAGAGTCCTTTAGGTGCCTTTTGGCAATGTGGCTTTTACTGAAGAGTGGCTGATTGGTGGAATGCTGCAGAGATGGTTGTCCTTCTGGAAGGTTCTCCCATCTCTAGAAAGGAACTCTGGAGCTCTGTCAGAGTGATCATTGGGTTCTTGGTCACCTCCCTGACCTAGGCCCTTCTCCGTCTTGGTGGTTCCAATCTTCATCCATTTAAGAATGATGGAGGCCACTGTGTTCTTGGGGACCTTCAATGCTGCAGAAATTCTTTGGTACCCTTCCCCAGATCTGTGCCTCGACACAATCCTGTCTTGGCGATCTACGGACAATTCCTTCGACCTCATGGCTTGGTTTTGCTCTGACATGCACTGTCAACTATGGAACATTATATAGACAGGTGTGTGCCTTTCCAAATCATGTCCAATCAATTGAATTTACCACAGGTGGACTCCAATCAAGTTGTGGAAACATCTCAAGAATAATCAATGGAAACAGGATGCACCTGAGCAAAATTTCGAGTCTCATAGCAAAGGGTCTGAATACTTTTGTAAACAAGGTATTTCTGTTTTTGCAAAAAATTCTAAAAACCTGTTTTTGCTTTGTCATTATGGGGTAATGTTTGTAGATTGATGCCGATTGTTTTTATTTAATCCATTTTAGAATAAGGCTGTAACGTAACAAAATGTGGAAAAAGTCAAGGTGTTTGAATACTTTTCGATTGCACTGTACATAAAAGATCTACAGAGACAGTGGATTTACCATTCAAAGTTGAGAAACATGTTGATGAACAGTACAGTTAACTCTACTTCAGACAACAGAAAAAAACATTTGATTACTTAATTCACTTCAACAAAGAACGTATAGTACGTTAACCTACTTCAGACAACAGAAACTGTGATGAACATACTTAATCACTCAACACAGAAACATGTTGATGAACAGTACGTTAACTCTACTTCAGACAACAGAAACATGTTGATGTAACAGTACGTTAACTCTACTTCAGACAACACAGGAAACAGTAGTTAATCACTTAGACAAGAAAATGTGATGAACATACGTTAACTCTACTTCAGACAACAGAAACATGTTGATGTACAGTACAGTTAACTCTACTTCAGACAACAGAAACATGTTGATGTACAGTACGTTAACTCTACTTCAGACAACAGAAACATGTTGATGAACAGTACGTTAACTCTACTTCAGACAACAGAAACATGTTGATGTACAGTACAGTTAACTCTACTTCAGACAACAGAAACATGTTGATGTACAGTACGTTAACTCTACTTCATGTTGATGTACAGTACGTTAACTCTACTTCATGTTGATGTACAGTACGTTAACTCTACTTCATGTTGATGTACAGTACGTTAACTCTACTTCATGTTGATGAACAGTACGTTAACTCTACTTCATGTTGATGTACAGTACGTTAACTCTACTTCATGTTGATGAACAGTACGTTAACTCTACTTCATGTTGATGAACAGTACGTTAACTCTACTTCAGACAACGGAAACATGTTGATGAACAGTACGTTAACTCTACTTCAGACAACAGAAACATGTTGATGAACAGTACGTTAACTCTACTTCAGACAACAGAAACATGTTGATGAACAGTACGTTAACTCTACTTCAGACAACAGAAACATGTTGATGTACAGTACGTTAACTCTACTTCAGACAACAGAAACATGTTGATGAACAGTACGTTAACTCTACTTCATGTTGATGAACAGTACGTTAACTCTACTTCATGTTGATGAACAGTACGTTAACTCTACTTCAGTTGATGAACAGTACGTTAACTCTACTTCATGTTGATGAACAGTACGTTAACTCTACTTCATGTTGATGAACAGTACGTTAACTCTACTTCAGACAACAGAAACATGTTGATGAACAGTACGTTAACTCTACTTCAGACAACAGAAACATGTTGATGTACAGTACAGTTAACTCTACTTCAGACAACAGAAACATGTTGATGTACAGTACAGTTAACTCTACTTCAGACAACAGAAACATGTTGATGAACAGTACGTTAACTCTACTTCATGTTGATGAACAGTACGTTAACTCTACTTCATGTTGATGAACAGTACGTTAACTCTACTTCATGTTGATGAACAGTACGTTAACTCTACTTCATGTTGATGTACAGTACGTTAACTCTACTTCATGTTGATGAACAGTACGTTAACTCTACTTCATGTTGATGAACAGTACGTTAACTCTACTTCATGTTGATGAACAGTACGTTAACTCTACTTCATGTTGATGAACAGTACGTTAACTCTACTTCATGTTAATGAACAGTACGTTAACTCTACTTCAGACAACAGAAACATGTTGATGAACAGTACGTTAACTCTACTTCATGTTGATGAACAGTACGTTAACTCTACTTCATGTTGAGTTAACGTACTGTTAACGTACTCTAGTAGAGTTAACGTACTTGATGTACAGTACGTTAACTCTACTTCATGTTGATGAACAGTACGTTAACTCTACTTCATGTTGATGAACAGTACGTTAACTCTACTTCATGTTGATGAACAGTACGTTAACTCTACTTCATGTTGATGAACAGTACGTTAACTCTACTTCATGTTGATGAACAGTACGTTAACTCTACTTCATGTTGATGAACAGTACGTTAACTCTACTTCTGTTGATGAACAGTACGTTAACTCTACTTCATGTTGATGAACAGTACGTTAACTCTACTTCATGTTGATGAACAGTACGTTAACTCTACTTCAGACAACAGAAACATGTTGATGTACAGTACGTTAACTCTACTTCAGACAACAGAAACATGTTGATGAACAGTACAGTTAACTCTACTTCAGACAACAGAAACATGTTGATGTACAGTACGTTAACTCTACTTCATGTTGATGAACAGTACGTTAACTCTACTTCATGTTGATGAACAGTACGTTAACTCTACTTCATGTTGATGAACAGTACGTTAACTCTACTTCATGTTGATGTACAGTACGTTAACTCTACTTCATGTTGATGAACAGTACGTTAACTCTACTTCATGTTGATGTACAGTACGTTAACTCTACTTCATGTTGATGAACAGTACGTTAACTCTACTTCATGTTGATGTACAGTACGTTAACTCTACTTCATGTTGATGAACAGTACGTTAACTCTACTTCATGTTGATGAACAGTACGTTAACTCTACTTCATGTTGATGAACAGTACGTTAACTCTACTTCATGTTGATGAACAGTACGTTAACTCTACTTCATGTTAATGAACAGTACGTTAACTCTACTTCAGACAACAGAAACATGTTGATGTACAGTACGTTAACTCTACTTCATGTTGATGAACAGTACGTTAACTCTACTTCATGTTGATGAACAGTACGTTAACTCTACTTCATGTTGATGAACAGTACGTTAACTCTACTTCATGTTGATGTACAGTACGTTAACTCTACTTCATGTTGATGAACAGTACGTTAACTCTACTTCATGTTGATGAACAGTACGTTAACTCTACTTCATGTTGATGAACAGTACGTTAAACTCTACTTCATGTTGATGTACAGTACGTTTAACTCTACTTCATGTAATGAACATTACGTTATTAACTCTACTTCATGTGATGAACAGTACGTTAACTCTACTTCATGTTGGATTGAACAGTACGTTAACTCTAACTTCATGTTGGATGAACAGTTATGTATTTACTCTACTTCATGTTGATTTGAACAGTAACGTTAACTCTACTTCATGTTGATGAACAGTACGTTAACTTACTTCATGTTGATGTAACAGTACGTTAACCCTCTACTTCATGTTGATGCAAAGTACGTTTTAACTCTACTTCATGTTATGAAACCGTACGTTAACTCTACTTCATGTTAATGAACAGTCCGTTAACTCTACTTCATGTTGATGTAGTCAGTACTGTAACTTTACTTCATGTTAATGTACAGTACGTTAACTCTAACTTCATGACACCAGGAAGAAACATTGTTGATGCAGACGTTAACTCTACTTCCTGGTTGATGAACAGTACGTTAACTCTACTCATGGTTGAATGAACAGTACGTTTACCTCTACTTCATGTTGATGAACAGTACGTTAACTCTACTTCATGTTAATGAACAGTACGTTAACTCTACTTCATGTTGATGAACAGTACGTTAACTCTACTTGATGTTGATGAACAGTACGTTAACTCTACTTCAGACAACGCCGTTGCTATCACTGCTCTTGCAGCTGCTGGGAGGTTTTTCATGAACAACGCTGGATCCATATGCAACGTCTATGTTCAGGAGCTGTTTCCCACCTCTGTTAGGTAAGACCTGTTATTTCTGTATACGTGCATAGAGACCTCTTCACTTTTCGCACATTTTGTTGTACGTTACAGCCTTATTCTAAAATCGATTAAATATTTTTTTTCCCCTCATCAATCTACACACAATACCCCATAATGACAAAGCGAAAAAAGGTTTTTAGATTTTTTTGTATATTTATAAAAAAATAAAACCAGAAATAACTTATACACATGTATTCAGACCCTTTGCTATGAGACTCGAAATTGAGCTCAGGTGCATCCTGTTTCCATTGATCATCCTTGAGATGTTTCTACAACTTGATTGGAGTCCACCTGTGGTAAATTCAATTGATTGGACATGATTTGGAAAGGCACACACCTGTCTATATAAGGTCCCACAGTTGACAGTGCATGTCAGAGCAAAAACCAAGTCATGAGGTTGAAGGAATTGTCTGTAAATATCAGAGACAGGATTGTGTTGAGGTACAGATCTGGGGAAGGGTACCAAAAAATGTCTGCAGCATTGAAGGTCCCCATGAACACAGTGGCCTCCATCATTCTTAAATGGAAGAAGTTTGGAACCACCAAGACTCTTCCTAGAGCTGGCAGCCCGGCCAAACTGAGCAATCGGCGGAGAAGGGCCTAGGTCAGGGAGGTGACCAAGAAACCAATGGTCACTCTGACAGAGCTCCAGAGTTCCTCTGTGGAGATGGCAGAACCTTCCAGAAGGACAACCATCTCTGCAGCACTCCACCAATCAGGTCTTTACAGTAGAGTGGCCAGACGGAAGCCACTCCTCAGTAAAAGGCACATGACAGCCCGTTTGGAGTTTTCCAAAAGGCACCTAAAGTACTCTCAGACCATGAGAAACAAGATTCTAAGTTCTGTTGAAATCAAGATTGACCTCTTTGGCCTGGATGCCAAGCGTCACGTCTGGAGGAAACCAGGCACCGCTCATCACCTGGCCAACACCATCCTACGGTGAAACATGGTGGTGGCAGCGTCATGCTGTGGGGATGTTTTTCAGCAGCAGGGACTGGGAGACCAGTCAGGATCGAGGGAAAGAACGGAGCAAAGTACAGAGATCCTTGATGAAAACCTGCTCCGAAGCGTTCGGGAAGTCAAATTGGGACAACGGTTCACCTTCCAACAGGATAACGACCCTAAGCACACAGCCAAGACAACGCAGGAGTGGCTTCGGGACAAGTCTCTGAATGTCCTTGAGTGGCCCAGCCAGAGCCCGGACTTGAACCCGATCGAACATCTCTGGAGAGACCTGAAAATAGCTGTGCAGCGACGCTCCCCATCCAACCTGACAGAGCTTGAGAGGATCTGCAGAGAAGAATGGGAGAAACTCCCCAAATACAGGTGTGCCAAGCTTGTAGCATCATACCCAAGAAGACTCTAGGCTGTAATCGCTGCCAAAGGTGCTTCAACAAAGTACTGAGTAAAGGGTCTGAATACTTATGTAAATGTTATATTTCACATTTTAACTTATTTTTTGTGCAAAAATGTATAAGAAACCTGTTTTTGCTTTGTCATTATGGGGTATTTTGTGTAGATTGATGAGGAGAAAAAAACAATTCAATCAATTTTAGAATAAGGCTGAACGTAACAAAATGTGGGAAAATAATAGATATCTAAATACTTTCAGAGTTTTCAAGTCTTCACTATTATTCTACAATGTAGAAAATAGTAAAAATAAAGAAACTTTTGACCGGTAGTGTGTATAAATATACAGTGGGGAAAAAAAGTATTTAGTCAGCCACCAATTGTGCAAGTTCTCCCACTTAAAAAGATGAGAGAGGCCTGTAATTTTCATCATAGGTACACGTCAACTATGACAGACAAATTGAGGAAAAAAAATCCAGAAAATCACATTGTAGGATTTTTAATGAATTTATTTGCAAATTATGGTGGAAAATAAGTATTTGGTCACCTACAAACAAGCAAGATTTCTGGCTCTCACAGACCCGTAACTTCTTCTTTAAGAGGCTCCTCTGTCCTCCACTCGTTACCTGTATTAATGGCACCTGTTTGAACTTGTTATCAGTATAAAAGACACCTGTCCACAACCTCAAACAGTCACACTCCAAACTCCACTATGGCCAAGACCAAAGAGCTGTCAAAGGACACCAGAAACAAAATTGTAGACCAGCACCAGGCTGGGAAGACTGAATCTGCAATAGGTAAGCAGCTTGGTTTGAAGAAATCAACTGCGGGAGCAATTATTAGGAAATGGAAGACATACAAGACCACTGATAATCTCCCTCGATCAGGGGCTCCACGCAAGATCTCACCCCGTGGGGTCAAAATGATCACAAGAACGGTGAGCAAAAATCCCAGAACCACACGGGGGGACCTAGTGAATGACCTGCAGAGAGCTGGGACCAAAGTAACAAAGCCTACCATCAGTAACACACTACGCCGCCAGGGACTCAAATCCTGCAGTGCCAGACGTGTCCCCCTGCTTAAGCCAGTACATGTCCAGGCCCGTCTGAAGTTTGCTAGAGTGCATTTGGATGATCCAGAAGAGGATTGGGAGAATGTCATATTGTCAGATGAAACCAAAATATAACTTTTTGGTAAAAACTCAACTCGTCGTGTTTGGAGGACAAAGAATGCTGAGTTGCATCCAAAGAACACCATACCTACTGTGAAGCATGGGGGTGGAAACATCATGCTTTGGGGCTGTTTTTCTGCAAAGGGACCAGGACGACTGATCCGTGTAAAGGAAAGAATGAATGGGGCCATGTATCGTGAGATTTTGAGTGAAAACCTCCTTCCATCAGCAAGGGCATTGAAGATGAAACGTGGCTGGGTCTTTCAGCATGACAATGATCCCAAACACACCGCCCGGGCAACGAAGGAGTGGCTTCGTAAGAACCATTTCAAGGTCCTGGAGTGGCCTAGCCAGTCTCCAGATCTCAACCCCATAGAAAATCTTTGGAGGGAGTTGAAAGTCCGTGTTGCCCAGTGACAGCCCCAAAACATCACTGCTCTAGAGGAGATCTGCATGGAGGAATGGGCCAAAATACCAGCAACAGTGTGTGAAAACCTTGTGAAGACTTACAGAAAACATTTGACCTGTGTCATTGCCAACAAAGGGTATATAACAAAGTATTGAGAAACTTTTGTTATTGACCAAATACTTATTTTCCACCATAATTTGCAAATAAATTCATAAAAAATCCTACAATGTGATTTTCTGGATTTTTTTTCTCATTTTGTCTGTCATAGTTGACGTGTACCTATGATGAAAATTACAGGCCTCTCTCATCTTTTTAAGTGGGAGAACTTGCACAATTGGTGGCTGACTAAATACTTTTTTCCCCACTGTATGTGTGTGTGTGTGTGTTTGTGTGTATATATATATACATATAAGGCCCATAACTAATGCTAGATTGTTTAATAACCCTTAATGTATCATCCATTTGCTCCTTCATTCAGACAAACGGCCACAGGCTTAGGTTCAATAGCAATCAGAATTGCTGGAATGCTGTCTCCAATGCTCAACATATTGGCCACATACCATTGGTCTATCCCCACCATCGTGTTCAGCAGCCTGTCATTGGCTGGTGGGGCTCTGGTCGTCCTTCTTCCTGAGACCAGGAGGACAGAACTACCTGACTCTACAGATGAGGCCGAGGGGAAGAGGTAGGTGCACCAGAGAATGTGTGAGGAAAGATGCACATACATAAGACTTGGCAGATCGTTTTGCATTTGTAGGAATGCTGTGGAACTATAAGAGGGTATTCGTTCATATATGAGGCAGATGGAGTAACACAATAAGGTACAAAGGAGTTGTTTAAGGGTGTATAACTTGTTGTTGTCTTTTGAAGCTTGGTTTCATTGATATCTACTTTTCCTGTAGAAATGTGACTACAACCACGAAGAAAAAAGCAAAAGGCTGCAAAGTGGATGTTTGCGACTGTGAAAAATCGACTAAACTATAAAGTGATTTTTATGTAAGTCTTTTTCTGGGTACATTTCTTTTCAAGGCTTAGTTAGTAAGACAGTTGGCTGGTGCAGGTGCTTATAACACCAAGGCTGTGAATACAATTCCTGGATGGGCCACATACCTGCTGTTTTTAACTTTGGCTTATAGAATTTATAGAATTAATCTACTATTTTTGTAACTCTTATTACCCGCTAAATGTATCAAAACGTATGATAAAAGTGTTTACTAAATGAACTACTAAATGTCTACTATAAAATATTATTATATTTGAATTTAAATACATTTGCAGTGTATCAAGGAATCTAATGATATACACACCGTTACTCACATTTGTATAAAAAACGGAGAGTCACCTGTGTTACCCAATTAATCTGTAAATGTTGTTACGAAACCACCTAGCTAACCTACTGCTAACGCTACACTCCCAGTGTCCAGGGGTCCTATAGGCCTGGCTAAATAATCTGTATCCTGATTGAATGTGTGCATGTATGCGAGAAGTAAGAGTATGCAGATCAGGTGTTGAATGCATGTGCCCCAGGAGACAGCAAAAAGCAAAATGTGCACCCCTTTTGGTCCCCAGGACCAGGAGTGAGGAACACTGCACTAATCTACCCATCTATTATAAATTATAACAATATTGTTTCAGATAACATTATTTATTTGCTACGTCAAATGAAATTGCCATACTGTCTACTTGTCTGGTTGCCAAGTTTGTTTACAGTACATAACATTTTTCTTTTTACGAACAGGTAACTTTGTCATCTCAATTCTTACATACAGCAGCTACCCAGATCATTAAATTTAAATTAAACATTTAAATTCTTCTATTCAGAGGTCCAAACACTAATAAGTAAGTCATCCTTGCAGTTAAACAAGAATGTTTATTGTTTTACCAAATAAAACCCAAAAGGGCATTCCTGCTGTGCAATAAGTGAATTAAAGATTATGTAATTGATCTTATGTCCCAGTTTATTCATCTACAGTTCTGAGAAGGCACCTGCCAAGTGATAAGTGAGGTTTATAGTATCTGTAAAGAATCGTCAGTGGTCCGTTGACCGGTAACATCTCATTACTCAGCAGTACTGTAGAAAAGGGGGGGGGTTGGAAACTGGCTTCCCTTACCTCAGGCCCTAGCCATACCCATTGGTTTCTTGTTGCCAGGGGCCCTTACCACACGTGGAGTCAGCCAATCACAGGCAGGTCATCTAAGGTCTCTGATCCTCCTCCCAGTCTTCAGCAAGCAGTGGCAGAGTGAGGAGCTCTCTCAGAAACCTGGTGTTCTCGGGGTGATGAGAGGTGTTGGGTTTGCGCCAGACATAGCGTTTTCCTTGATGGCCAAAAAGCTCAATTTTAGTCTCATCTGACCAGAGTACCTCCTTCTATATGTTTGGGGAGTCTCCCCACATGCCTTTTGGCGAACACCAAATGTGTTTGCTTATTATTTTCTTTAAGCAATGGCTTTTTTTCTGGCCACTCTTCCGTAAAGCCCAGCTCTGTGGAGTGTACGGCTTAAAGTGGTCCTATGGACAGATTCTCCAAACTCCGCTGTGGAGCTTTGCAGCTCCTTCAGGGTTATCTTTGGTCTCTTTGTTGCCTCTCTGATTAATGCCCTCCTTGCCTGGTACGTGAGTTTTGGTGGGCGGCCATCTCTTGGCAGGTTTGTTGTGGTGCCATATTCTTTCCATTTTTTAGTAATGGATTTAATGGTGCTCCATGGGATGTTTTTTAGAACCCAACCCTGATCTGTACTTCTCCACAACTTTATCCCTGACCTGTTTGGAGAGCTCCTTGGTCTCCATGGTGCCGCTTGCTTGGTGGTGCCCCTTGCTTAGTGGTGTTGCAGACTCTGGGGCCTTTCAGAACAGGTGTGTATATATACTGAGATCATGTGACAGATCATGTGACACTTAGATTGCACACAGGTGGACTTTATTTAACTAATTATGTGACTTCTGAAGGTAATTGGTTGCACCAGCTCTTATTTAGGGGCTTCATAGCAAAGGGGGTGAATACATATGCACGCACCACTTTTCCGTTATTTATTTTTTAGAATTGTTTGAAAAAAGTTATTTTCTTAATTTCACTTCACCAATTTGGTCTATTTTGTGTATGTCCATTATATGAAATCCAAATAAAAATCAATTTAAATTACAGGTTGTAATGCAACAAAATAGGAAAAACGCCAAGGGGGATGAATACTTTTGCAAGGCACTGAGTGTGTTATTTCATAGTTTTCATGTCTTCACTATGATTCTACAATGTAGAATTTTTTAAAAATAAAGACGGCCGACCACTGCGCCTCCCGAGTGGTCTAAGGCACTGCATCACAGTGCTAGCTGTGCCACTAGAGATCCTGGTTCGAATCCAGGCTCTGTCGTAGCCGACCGGGAGACCCCATGGGGCGGCGCACAATTGGTCCAGCGTCGTCCAGGGGAGGGAATGGCCGGCAGGGATGTAGCTCAGTTGGTAGAGCATGGTGTTTGCAACGCCAGGGTTGTGGGTTCAATTCCCACGGGGGGTATGAAAACTAAAAAATAATGTATGCACTCATAAGGATAAGAGCGTCTGCTAAATGACTAAAATGTAAAAAAAATGTAAAATCCTGTAATGAGTAGGTGTGTCCAAACTTTTGCCCGGTACTGTTTATTCTGTTGTTACCTCTCATTCATAGGTGTCCATCTCAATGAACCTGCACTACCACTACTCCCGTTGTCGGAGAGTCATAGAATGCATTCAGCATCATGGCTGCAAGGATGAGGATTCTTGGTCGTCCAATCCGAGTGTACCCCTGAAGGCTAGGGGCATATGTGGCCTTCCACAACTGCAGTTGAAGTCGGAAGTTTGCATACACTTAGGTTGGAGTCATTGAAACTTGTTTTTCAACCACTCCACAAATTTATTGTTAACAAACTATAGTTTTGGCAAGTCGGTTAGGACATCTACTTTGTGCGTGACACAAGTAATTTTTCCAACAATAGTTTATAGACTGATTTTTTCACATATAATTCACTGTATCACAATTCCAGTGGGTGAGAAGTTTAAATGCACTAAGTTGACTGTGCCTTTAAACAGCTTGGAACATTCCAGAAAATGATGTCATGGCTTTAGAAGCTTCTGATAGGCTAATTGACATCATTTGAGTCAATTGGAGGTGTACCTGTGGATGTATTTCAAGGCCTACCTTCAAACTCAGTGCCTCTTCGCTTGACATCATGGGAAAATCTAAAGAAATCAGCCAAGACCTCAGAAAAACAATTATAGACCTCCACAAGTCTGGTTCATCCTTGGGAGCAATTTCCAAATGCCTGAAGGTACCACGTTCATCTGTACAAACAATAGTACGCAAGTATAAACACCATGGGACCACGCAGCCGTCATACCGCTCTCCTACAGATGAACGTACTTTGGTGCGAAAAGTGCAAATCAATCCCAGAACAACAGCAAAGGACCTTGTGAAGATGCTGGAGGAAACAGGTACAAAAGTATCTAAATCCACAGTAAAACGAGTCCTATATCGACATAACCTGAAAGGCCACTCAGCAAGGAAGAAGCCACTGCTCCAAAACCGCCATATAAAAAAGCCAGACTACGGTTTACAACCGCACATGTTGACAAAGATCGTACTTTTTGGAGAAATGTCCTCTGGTCTGATGAAACAAAAATAGAACTGTTTGGCCATAATGACCATTGTTATGTTTGGAGGAAAAAGGGGTTGCTTGCAAGCCGAAGAACACATTTACATTTACATTTACGTCATTTAGCAGACGCTCTTATCCAGAGCGACTTACAAATTGGTGCATTCACCCTATAGCCAGTGGGATAACCACTTTACAATATGTTTATTTGTTATTTAAAAAAATAAAAAAAAATCGTGAAGCATGGGGGGTGGCAGCATCATGCTGTGGGGATGCTTTGCTGCAGGAGGGACTGGTGCACTTCACAAAATAGATGGCATCATGAGGAAGGAAAATGATGTGGATATATTGAAGCAACAACATCTCAAGATATCAGTCAGGAAGTTAAAGCTTGGTCGCAAATGGGTCTTCCAAATGGACAGTGACCCTAAGCATACCTCCAAAGTTGTGGCAAAATGGCTTAAGGACAACAAAGTCTCAAGGTATTGGAGTGGCCATTACAAAGCCCTGACCTCAACCCTATAGAAAATGTGTGGGCAGAACTGAAAAAGCGTGTGCGAGCATGGAGGCCTACAAACCTGACTCAGTTACACCAGCTCTGTCAGGAGGAATGGGCCAAAAATCACCCAACTCATTGTGGGAAGCTTGTGGAAGGCTACCCGAAACGTTTGACCCAAGTTAAACAATTTAAGGCAATACACTCAATTAGTATTTGGTTGTATGTAAACTTCTGACCCACTGGGAATGTGATGAAAGAATAAAAGCTGAAATAAATAATTATCTCTACTATTATTCTGACATTTCACATTCTTAAAATAAAGAGGTGATCCTAACTGACCTAAAACAGGGAATTTTTACTAGGATTAAATGTCAGGAATTGTGAAAAACTGAGTTTAAATGTATTTGGCTAAGGTGTATGTAAACTTCCGACTTCAACTGTACCTGTCCTCCACAGATTAAGCTCATGAGCCAAACACAAGATACGTGCCTCCCGCTTTTGCTGACCTGCCCCTCCTTTCTGGCAACTACCAACCTGGAGAGTGGAGGAGTGTTGTGGCAGGGTACAACAATCTCCCAAGAGCCAAACTCTCTTGTGCCAGGGTGACATAGCTTGCAAGTTAATGAAGTTAAAGGACTTCTTCCTCTCGTGTGCCATTGCAGGAAGTCATGGTTAGGAGAGGACAACTCAACCCAAGACCTTTGTTTGGACTACTCTCACACAACCCTTGATGGGCGGACAGACTCAGTTCTTTGTGTGCACTGTGAACCAAAGTACTTTGTACTAATATGTAGCTTTAATCTTGTTAATAAAATGAAACCTGATTCTGACATCTCAGTGTGTAGTAATTTAGATTAGATTGAACTGCACCACCAGTAAAAAAGCCTGTAAAGTCTGTGGAACACAGCTCTTCTGTACGTTGTCAGCACTTGATGTTCAAATATAATGCATTCAAACACCTTGTATTGACATGAAGAAATGCCAACAGCTTTTTCATGTTCAAATAGAATGCATTGAAACACCTTGTATTGACATGAAGAAATGCCAACAGCTTTTTCATGTTCAAATAGAATGCATTGAAACACCTTGTATTGACATGAAGAAATGCCAACAGCTTTTTCATGTTCAAATAGAATGCATTGAAACACCTTGTATTGACATGAAGAAATGCCATCAGCTTTTTCATGTTCAAATAGAATGCATTGAAACACCTTGTATTGACATGAAGAAATGCCAACAGACTTTTCATGTTCAAATAGAATGCATTGAAACACCTTGTATTGACATGAAGAAATGCCAACAGATTTTTCATGTTCAAATATAATGCATTGAAACACCTTGTATTGACATGAAGAAATGGGGGGGGGGGGGGGGGATTAGGAGTGTCTGGAGAGCAGTGTGCATGGTGAGGAGAGGAGGAGGAGGAGAGGAGGGGGACATTAGGAGTGTCTAGAGAGCAGTGTGCATGGTGAGGAGAGGAGGAGAGGAGGGGGACATTAGGAGTGTCAGGGAGAGCAGTGTGCATGGTGAGGATAGGAGGAGAAGGACAACAGAAGATAGGAAAGGGGATCAGAGTAAAGGAAGAGAGTCAGAATTTTAAAAATGCATTTACCTCTGGGACAAGCTGGTGGCTCGGTGCATGACGTTCTCCAGATCTTGAGACCTGTCTTCAATCATTTGCAATGTCTTTGAGTCTGCAGCTCTTTTCTCACACCCGTGCTACTACTGATGCAGATAGAGGACTATTTAGGACACATATCCAAACCATCCAAAATGATCAATGAACATCATTTCAGGAAGTACCAAAAACTAAAACAGGAAGTACCAGGTGACTCGCTCAATATGGAAGTGGTCAGATGAATCGGATGCTACATTACAGGACTGTTTTGCTAGCACAGACTGAAATATGTTCCTGGATTCATCCAATGGGCATTGAGGAGTATACCACCTCAGTCATCGGCTTCATCAATAAGTGCATCGATGACGTCGTCTCCACAGTGACTGTACGTATATATCCCAACCAGTAGCCATGGATTATAGGCAACATCCGCTTCGAGCTAAAGGCTAGAGCTGCCGCTTTCAAGGAGCGGGACACTAATCCAGACGCTTATAAGAAATCCCGCTACTC